AGCGTAGATAACTTAGAAAGAGTCGCCCTGATGACGGAGGCAGTATGACCTCTGAAACGTTGGTAAACATCGACCAGACTACACAGCGCAACAACCCAGAAGACAGAAATCTTCATAGCGTAGATAACTTAGAAAGAATCGCTCTGATGACGGAGGCAGTATGACCTCTGAAACGTTGGTAAACTTCGACCAGACTACACAGCGCAAGAACCCAGAAGACAGAAATCTTCATAGCGTAGATAACTTAGAAAGAATCGTCCTGATGAAGGAGGCAGTATGACCTCTGAAACGTTGGTAAACATCGACCAGACTACACAACGCAACAACCCAGAAGACGGAAATCTTCAACATTAATTAAGCCTGTCTAAACATCACCTGATACTTGTATAAGGGACAACACACGTTATTTCAAAGGACCCATTTTTAATATTGCTGTTCATTAACTCGCAGAAAAAAGTTTAATATGTGGTAAAGTAAGAGAAATGCCAAAATTCCTCGACTAAATGTATGGCCTCATCCATCCTTTTCGCCAGAAGCTGTACTCATGGAAACGCTGACCGAAATGTAAATTAACACGACAGTCTGCTGTACGCGCACCGAGAATGTGAATAATGCCGCGTTGAAATGCAACGTGCAAAGGACAGACGAAAATTGGATTCTACAGACATAACAAAAGCAGTAAAACATAGAAGGTGACTGACTTTAGCTTCTGTGTGGATTATGAATTCTCAGACTCGCTGCTGTTGTTTGCGTCAACATAAGCATACGAAACGCTGTCATTAAATTGTATGAGGTAATTAAAAACTGTGCCGTGGTGTAGAAATGAAATGGACGTATATTGCAAACATTTTGTGTGTCGTTCAATGTGCGAAATGTTTATGATGCTCAGTACTGAACGTATAAATTAAAAGTCGTTCTGGAAACTAAATTCTGGTTTATTTTGTCCAATTTACACCAAAATAAAATGTTTTAAACTTTTAAGTAAAACTAGTACAATAAAACTGGTTAAAATATAATTTTACAATGGAAGTGGTAATAAAGAAATTTGATATAGGAATAGGTTACAATTTTTTTGAAGGAACATTGTAATAGAAATACAACCGATATGGAATTTAATCTATGGAAGTATGAATTCAATCCTAACCCTCCGACCCGATTTTATGATAAATTTTAACATTTTCCTCCTACTTACTCCGAGGTCTTCTGACTGAATTCTTCCCTTCAGGTTCTCCATCAAAAATTTTGTACGAATTTTTCATTTCCTATGATCGTCACACGCCTGGTCACATCGCCCTCTTGATGGCGCCCCTCAGACCACGGATGAAGAAGCCCTTCAGTCATGGAGTTTAGGTGCGGATGCACTGAATGAACAATCGCGGAAGCCGACAAAATGCGGTCCTTCAGCTTAGGGGTTCGGCAAGGGGGCAACTACCCACCATAAAACAACGTGTTACGAAATATTATGCTCTGCTTTAAACTGTGTCTTCCGTATCAGTGGTGCATAATTTCTGTAGAATAACTAGAGAATATTAATGTTTTTAAATGTGTTTAAATTCATTTTATTCTATACCATCGTCCGCATACGCCTTCAAGACAGGTGTTTGGAAGTTTTGCACACTATAACGAGCGAAAAACAAACTTGTAACTCAGAAGAAACGAAAAATGTAAATCAACTGACGACAGTATGGAAAAAAAAAAGATCACTACGGTCTAGCAATTTCTTATGAACCTGAACTAGCTAGAACAGCACTATAGTTCCTGCACTAGTAACATATTACGAATCTACATTGTTTAATAACGGTAGTCACAATATTTTAACATAAGCGTAATTTATCTATCAACTAGATTTCTGTTATGGCATTTAGGAAAGGGGGGGGGGGTCTGAGGGTGTAAGGAAATTCTTCGTAATAACCATCTAAAGCAAATATTAAAAACTGCTCCCCTGAAAATCAGACTGCACGTAAATATTTCTGTGCGTTGAGGTTCAGAACTACAATAATCTGCATATTCAGGCCTGTACTGAAAAAGTTAAAAAGCTCAGCGCCTATGGTTATAGAGTAAACAGCGGTATTCCAATTTTGAAACCAAATGTAATGAAACGTAAAACAATTGTTATAATAAAACAAAGCCAGTTGCTGATATGAGCATATTGTATGTAATTTTCGGGTTGTGTTACACTGACCATGCATGACAGCGTACGATGTAAAGAACGTATTTATTTCTCATTGATGTCCGCTGATATGAAATTACTCGTACATTTTTATTTACAGAATTTTATCACTTTCAGAACAGATAAAAAGGTGCAATTAACTTTACACATAAGCTTCCATAAATATGATCCACGAAGTAAATTATCTCATCTACGTTTTTTAATGTTTTACGCATTTATAGTAATATCGGAAAATGAATTATTAAATAAATGACCCAAACAACGTACGAGGCTAATGCAGTTCCAAAAGTCTTAATTTGCATTTACAAGCATTATCGTGGTAAATAATTTAAGATTCCGTGTCTTTATAAGCAACTAATTGTACACGATGTGAAACGTTTATGAATATTTTAAGATTAGTTGAAACTAAAATTAACAAAGATCACCTGATTAATGCTGTTTAAGGATTGTTTTAAATCAGAATCGTATTAAACTCTCGAATATATTCTGCAGGCAAAATTCAGCTACTAAAAGTTAAAGAAAGCTGTGTAGATAGACATATTTATCAATACTTTACTTACAGCATTGGCAACGAAGAACTTATGGAAAAGTTCAAAACAAAATCACATTATTTGTATTTATTTGATAAGTCGTGCAGAAAGAGTACATATTTTGGCATATATTTGCCTTAAAAAGATACTGAGTAGGTAGTACTTTGAAACTCTAGAACTATAGTTACACGTCTTTAAAAGTTTGGAGTATTACAGATGTTACTCTCGAAGTCTGTTAACTTTCTCTGTGGGACAATAGCAAAGCTGACAACTTTGCACTCCTCCACGCGTCTATTCTTCGTGCAGAACGTACCATTTCCAGGGGAACATTTTCGAGCACTCTGACAAAGCGAACTCCCTCTCTTTACGTGTTGGTAAATGCGAGATACGAAAGAAGGCAAGGAGAAAGTTATCAGGAATTGTAAATAACGCTGGTTAAAGTAAATGCATTGTGAATGAGTGCAGGCAAGGTAAGAAGAGGGAGGATGAAACAGATTTGTTCCATTCTGAGATGCACCTTCGGAGGAACGCTGCAATGTATTCATCCCATCCCAAGTGGCACTGCTTCTTCTCATGAAATGAGAATTAATATTTAATGTTGTTGTAGAAGGGAAGGTGAAATATATAATGGCGAGACTGCGTAGCCAAGAAGTATCATAGTACTACGGATGAACATAAGTCACACTCAAAGTCTGCCCTGTGTCAGAACGGGGTAGTCTCAGTAAGTCACAACAAAAATTGGAACAAGAACAGCTTGATTCATTGTCGACGTTCTTCTGGGTTGTGACGCCGTGTAGATACAAACGTTTAAGAGAAAATTAAGGCCTACAGCCTCCAAATTCACATTCCGTCTCCTTCATGAGGAAGACGGTAACTTTCTTCCAAATATTAATCTCTCCCTACAAGTTAAAACCAAGAACAACAGTACAGCCATCCTCACAGCCGTGAGAACCCCAAATCTCACACAGCTTGTAGTTTGTTCCTTTGAAGTACTTTAACGGGTGGCAGTAAAGGATCTGATTTGTAAGCAGAACAATAAGTTGCAAGAGCGATTAAGACATACTATTCTCTAAATGTCTAAAACTATATGATAAAGGTAGTTAGATATAAAACATTATTACGTGTTAAATATAGTTTCAATATATCGCATGAAATGTATAAGCATATTTATAACACATCTCCATAAAAACGTTCATACACGTAGCTCAAATCGTTGATTACTTCTTACTTCCTGAAATCGATTTTCCGTTAGAACTTATGATTAGATAGTAAAAAAAATTCACTGTATTGATAAAATTAACTAAGAAATACAGATGTAAGAACTTGTAAAGATCCAATCTAACACGAGTTATTTTAAGCATGCATTTATGAATGTCAGAAGACTGGAACGTTGGTAACACACTTGATAATTATATCAAAATGACATAAATAAAAGACAGGTGAGAACTACTTGAGACGATAATATTAATTTCCTACCTGAGTCAAATGTTACTTCGCTGATCATAATCCACTTGGCAGCAAAGTGGAGTTGTAGTTTCACGAAGCGTCCAATGCGATGATGCAGTTTTATCGAAATGTTCCTCGAATTCTCGAAGATTCTGTCTTCGATGTACGTATATGAGATCGGTTCGCCCACGAAGTAGCGTCCCCCTACACTAAACATGATGTCGGCTTCCGAAAACACCTGAAAGCAATCCAGAACATACAGACTAATTCACAAATAACTGAATTAAAAGTTTCGCTCCAGTTTTAAATCCACGGGGTTTCCACATGCGCACGTATTATATATATATGTGACTTTTCATCTCGCGTTGATCTTTGTGATCATCTATTTCACACACCGATATGTTCAGAAAATAAAGCCAAAGTCAACTATAGAGATATTACACCGACTACACTTGTACTCGGTGAAGATATGCGTTTTATTACAGTCACTGGATCGGGTCTCTTGTCGTCTTAAGTGGAAAAGAACAACCCGGCCCACAAAGTACACAACGCTCAGTTCCGATCAGTCCTTGTTTGCATACTAGAGACTTGAGGTTCCCACGGCTGTAAAGATGTCGTTTATGGTCATCTGGGTTGAGACGCTACACCAACGTTTCGGAGGAAAGTGTAGTCTCCATCTTCAAGGCTCAACTGAATTGTAGAGACGTAGACAGACAGAGAGATGAATGGGTGGGCAGACAAGTGTAGGGCTAGATATGGACGTGTACTGCATTGTTGTAAATTTAATTGTTACTGAAAATTTCGAGTCGTTAAATTGGTTTAACTTTATGAAATTCTTTTTGAAGTTTTTTGCATTATTTCGCCAAATATCTATTATTAGAGATATTAAATCAATTAAGATTAGAGGAGTTTGGCCATGTAACACGAATGGGAGAGTCAAGGACTGGATACATTTCAGTCAGTAAGTCTAAAGGAAAGAAACAACTTGGTAGACCTAGACGTTGATATAATGGCAGAATTGAATGATCCAGGATGTGATGATGTTATCTGAATTCACCTGGGTCTGGTTGGGATCCAATGGCAATTGTAAATACAGGCACGAAACTTCATGTTCCATAAAAGTGTAAATTTGCTGACCTGTTGATCGGTTATTAATTTCTGAAATAGAACTCTTCTTCATGTGGTAAATTTGTCAGAGGCCCTTTAAATGGAATGTATTAGTTTGAAGTTCTTAATTCGTGGAATTAGTCTGAATTGTGCCCTATTATATCATTTTACTATATTTATGACTCTATCAAACACATGCGTTGAGGGTCCGGCAAGTTCCTTCTAGGCATCTCTGGGGTGATCGTTTAAAACTACTGGATTATTTACGAGCAGGTTAAAGCCTTTACGTGCATGTCAAGACCATACCAGTTTATCACAAGAGAACACGTGTCTGAAACTTGTAGGATACCGGTAAGCCTGTAAGTTAAGTGATCTCCCATCGATCAGACAAATCATACATTGAACATAAATAAATTATCAACTAAAAAACTTTACCACTTCACAGAACTTCTGAGGCCATAATTCATTCCTGCCAGACACATGCATATCGTATCGACCAGGCATGGAACTTTCACATAATGTAAATTTTAAAAGCACCATTTACCATCTAGGAAGCAAGAAACAAGGAGCTATATACAAGGGTTTATACAGGCAGAGACGAAATGACACTATTATCTACTTCAGCAAAAAGATGAAGGTGTATAATATACAAGAAAGGCGGTAGTCTGTCCTGTGAACAAAGGGAGAGTATAAAATTGCAGGTCGGAAGCATTAACGTCATTCATTTAAACCCCAGATACTGCGACACTGTAATTTTGGAAAATACAGACCTTATTACATGCAGCTGTATCTTACAGATGAAGCACTGAGCGGGTCTGTTGGAATGTAGGCCTATGCAAATGGTAGGTACCTCTAACATCGCCACCTTAACGTTTGTTTTTTTTTAGGCATTTTCGGTATCTGTCTTCTGGGTTGCAGCAGGCAGACACCAACGTTTCGAAGTGACATACTGTTTCCATGTTCACCCCTGAAGATGCCAGTGTATTTCTCCGAAACATTAGTCCTATAAGTCCATACGTAGTTATAACCGGAGAACATAAATTACAAATAAGAAATTTTACACAAGATAATTCCATCAGCTTTTGGGAAAAATTTCAAAGCTAACATCGAGGTTTGTATATCAGAATATTAAACTGTAATATTTTATGTAAATGCACGTTTGCTTTGTTTTCTCCCTCGATGGAAGACCGATAAACAAAGCTGTGGTATTTTTTTACATATCTTTATGCTAGGAAGTCAAGGCTGATTAAATCTGCGCGTATAAATCATTATGAATCCCGATTCTTCAGAAAGAGATACAGGGTTCTAATGAAACTAAGAACGACTGGCAACTGATAATTCAAAAAGAAACCCCTACGTCACGTGAATCTACTTCGGAACCTAAATATTCCCTTTTTCCCGTTGAACCCTTCATGTGTGATCGCCAGTGCTACACGAGTGATGTGATACACAGGGTCGTAATGTACTGCTTTAGGGAGTGTCAGTTCGCCCGGACCATTTTCTGCCAGTCGCTCGAAACTGAGCGTGAATATTTCCCCCCTCGTATTTCCCCTTTCTGCAAAACCCATTACACTTTATTGAACAAGGATGATTTAGATGTGACGGTTCTTAAGCAAGAAGTTCGGCTTGTCATGCAGAAGATATGGCGTGATCTGATGTGAGAAATATGATTTTATATATCCCGATCAAGGCGAATGGGCTTGTGGCGAGAAACTTAAACTTTCTATTTAACATCCAGACACTGACATCAGCGCTCACGTAGATAACCACTGGCCGTTATCGGAATATACGTATTTTAGGTTAGTGAGGGCCATGACATGATAGACCGACCACTGTAGCCTCGTAACCAAATCAAACTCTCCTTCGTATGAATCTTCTAGTGACACTTATCTTTTCGAAATATCGTTACTGTGACGAGTTTATGAGAACTGTAAAAGTCAGTTGCACAAGTCTTATATTAGTTAAATTATCGGTATACGTTGTGATGATGATCTCATCGCGTTTACTTATCGGAAATCCATGATAATAAACGCTAAACATTTTCGCTCTTTGCACAGTGCAGGCATACACATGCATAATAATCTTAATAACGCTACTCTCGAAGCTGTTTGAGGTAACGCTTTCCTTTCCTGAATGCACTTTGAAGCACAGAGCGCAACTGTTAGACCAAAAACAGGATGGTCTTCTAACGGGAGAGAAATTTGCGTTTCAGAGACACTGTAAGCTTGGAACTGTCCTCTACTGAGGATGCGTACAGCGCGGATAGTAAACACTGACGATGAAGAAGGAAAGGCAAGTGATATGCGTAGTTCATAAATCATACAACGAATTAAGCTCAGAGCGTGAGATAAAATGCATGGCGCGCTGAAAGGTACTTCCCCGGTTATCGGCCAATAGGAAGACAATAAAATCTCCCAGGCTAGTGTTTATTGGTCCACGCCACACACATACTGAATATAACGTAGTGAAAAAGTGGATTCTTGAAGTAATGGAGGGGCCCGTATGTTGAAAATTGCAAAAGACTCGTCACTTGAAGCAGATAGGGTCTGTGCTCTCGAAACGAACGGCCAGAGAGAATAAACCTTCCCTCGAGTAGAGAAAGACGGTGCTTCCAAAGAAGCAGAGGAATCAACCGGCCGTACAGAGAGAGTAAAAAAAACGAGCTGAATACATAATGAGGACCAAGTAACGTCTCCAGTTCATAGCAACTCTTCCTTTGCGCTACTCATTTTCCTTTTTGCCGTATCAAGCCCCTTCTTCATGCTCACCTCCAGCAATACGGAGCACACGAAACCCCGTGTCTACCGCCTGTTCCAAAATAGATTACTAGGATGAGGTTACACGTGGATAAAACTTCGTGTTACTGTTTTGGTAACAGACCTCTGAACTTTCTTCATATCACGGGAAGTTTCTCGTAACTTCACGACAGATCTAGTCACACTGTCAAAGTTCAGAAACAAAAACAGGCAACTACACTTATCATCAACAGTAATACACATTTGGGAAAGACTTAGAAATGTGAATCGTGATATTTTTAAAGCTTATTAATACATTTCGGATTTGCACGAGTTCAAATGTTTTCCAACCAACAGATACGTATAACTGCATGAAAAAATGAAACTGAGTTGATTAAATCAGGGACAATGAGATGAACAGCGCATGTAGCGCGCACGGGAGAAATGATAAATACGCACAGAATTTTGGTTGGAAAGCCTGAATGAAAGAGAACAATTAGAAAATCTTGACGTTGAAGGGAGGATAATTTTCAAATGGGTTTTAGAGAGAGACAGAGTAGGAGGGTATGGAATGGATTCTTCTGGCGGACTCTTGTGATCACGACAATAATCCACGATGGTAAGAAGTAGGAAAAAGTAGGACTTGGCTAGTTTCTTACATTCCTCTACCCGCAGAGAATGTGATGGAACAGTAACGTCCCAGTTATGACGCCTGTCTTTCGTTATGATCTAATAAACGAGTTTCATATGAGATACTCGCTGAGGTCCTGAAGATGGAGGCAATACAGTCCTCCGAAAGTTGATTCCTACCTGGCGTTACAACCCAGGAAATCACCACCGACACCTTCGCCTCACCTCGCCTCAATTACCACCATACTAAAGTACATTCCAGGACTTTAAATCAGGCCACGACTGGTTCGTTCCACGTAAGTCTTTTGTTTTTAGTGTGAATAACAGTTTAACCCAAACTGTACCGAGCCGCCTTCAAAAATCGTCGTGGGACGAACATCCGCCCGCTAACTTTTGTCGTGGTGGTTATGCAGTACTTCACACGTTTGTCGGCGTCATACTACACTGACTTCGTCTTCGTCTTGTATTAGCCGTATTAAGAATCCAGCGTGTGTCACGACCGATAAAACGCCGCGCGGAATATTCAATCACGTGGACCGCCCCCTGTTGATCTCCACTTGGTATTCTGCACGCATGCTGTACATTCTTCTCTCGCAACCACCATGCAAGAAGGACATTCTTCCTAACCCTCCTCCTTGTGCTGATACGTCATGTCGTACCTTAAGGACGTAGATGGAACGCGTCCCTTGTGTGATTAAACACAAGTAGCATAGTATTTCAGCTATTAAACTTTCAAACAAATTAGGATCAAGGGTGCGAATCTTTTTACTTATTTCACTTGTTTAAGGGAGTTTTTACAAGGAACAGCGCTAATTTAAAGTATTGGATCAATAACTTTAAACTACGTCTCGTAACGGCATTCAAATCGATTCATTGGTACAGGAAGTTAAACATTGCAGAATTTTAAACAAAGTGTTACAAACTTCAACATTGTTGATTTTGCACGAAATCATGTTGGGAAACTCTAAAACAATTTTCCCTTTTAAGGATTATAGATCTGTACGAACGTATAGCAGAATTAAAAATTGTAAGCATAAATAATTTTAAATATAACTTATTACACAACGGAAAAATAACCAACAATCCGTAGCACTCATACAATGGGATGAAAAGATTATCATATTACTGCCAATGAAAACAACCATTTTAACCATTAAAAATTTTTACACACATACACAAACCATAAAAATGAATTTACTTGGCGAAAAGATTTTATGACTTTTAAAAGTTTTAAGCCGAGGCAACGAGAAGATAATTTTAACTCTGCAGCAGATTCTTTGAACGACAAACAGGATAATGGATCGGTTTACGTACGAAGTAACTCTTATGCAACTGGATCCCATCCACCGTCTACCATATGTTACACTCGAAACATAGTAATAATGAGTTGTTATGAAGTATATGGCAGTCAGACAAAAAACTGCTGGCTGTTGCGTGTTCCCTAACAAGGGCTCATCATTATCTGACGTTCTGAATAATAGTGTAATCACTTGACTCTTGGAAAACCCTCGTTGAGTCCTGGTCTATTGATAGAATATCTTAAAGTTTGTTCAACGCCGATCTCTGGTATTCAAACACAGAAAATTCGGATTAAACTCCTTACGACAATGAATTTTTCGTTCTTTTTTTGTGTTTTTCTGTATCGGAGACGGCTTAAGACTGAACATCTCCATCCGAGGAGCTCCACAGATTATCTTAATAAAGACTTCTTTAATAATAAGGGGAGAGGGTGAGATAGAGGCGCGTACCACGTATTAGTTATCGGAACAGAATACGCGACCTCTGCAGCAGAGGTGTAAATAAACATTGACGCCTGTAGCATAAGATTTGAGGTTCTCAAGGCGGTGACGTCGAATGTGATACGAGTTATGACACCGTGCAATCTAGTAGATGTATCGCTCCCACCTTCAAATCGATAGATCGAAACAATCCTCCTTTTTACTGCGTGTCTCGTAATTTAAGTTAGTAAACGCTGACGTTAAAACGAAAGTCAAGTTCGAGCGGTTTGGCACTCCTGTTTTATACGCACAGATCTCGGCCCACAGACATTTTATCTTCATTTAGATTTTCCTTTACTTTCCTAGATCTATGCACGAAAGTGCCGGGGCATTAGGTTAAAATAGACCATGGACCTTTTATAATTCATTAATCGTTTATCATTAGACTGTATGCATTCTAAGCTACTGACAGCGTTTCCTCCACGCCCTTGCAGTGATGAAATGTCAGTCTAGTTAGACCCCTTTCCTTTTATATCCACTCTTCAACACGCTATTTCCACACATCGTCAGTTTAAAATTAATCCCGTGATTGATTTCTAACAACTTCAAATTTATCATATTCTTGTGGTCTGAACACAACTGAATTCCTAGAATTATCAATTTGAAAGTATCTGTAAAATACGTGTTCGTGTCTGTTCCATGCCGCAGGCTGTGGAAGGCGCTTCACAAAGGAGAATCTGTGAGGCACAAGAACACCAGTATTGAATCTGTAATGAACCTGTCCACGGCAGAGGTTATGTTTGAGAAACACGCTTTCTCTGCGCTGTATAACGCAAATGAAACTTTTTTGAATACCGAGCTCTCTTCTGTCGCCATGTTTCTGTACAACAGTGCAAATTTTCATCACACGATCCTCGCAGAAAAGTATTCTTACGCATAAAGCTACAGAATGAAGCAAGAAAAATTTATAAAAATTAAACTATCAGCCGAAAATGTAGCTAGTTAAACGATATTTTAGTTTTTTCAGCTTAAAAATGATATTAGGTCCACGTAGTCCTTGTTATTCATGTAAAATCTTGAATCGATAACGTCTAAAAGCGAAATATTAAGGATACAATTCGGTCATGAAGGTATTAAAACGTCATTAATTATAGACACAGGCTTCAATAAAGTATGTCACAATTAATTACCTTTATTCAAGACACGAAACTTCAAATACTGTGGGAATGTACAGCGCTTATGAAACATTCAGAAAGACTTCTACTGAAATTAAATATAAAAGAAATTTTATATCAGGCCAAGACTTAAAGTCTTGACGACTCAGATACTGGGATAGTGAATTCGAGTAACACCCGAGATAATGGCTGTTTGTCATCGTTTTTATGAGTTTCTGCATGATGCGTACGAAATGAACGCATTTGGATGAAATTTCGTACGTATGAACGTTAGGGAATTGGAGGCTATCCTGATCTAATGCTTTCCAATTTCATACAATCGGTAATATTAAAATCGAGGTCAAACTAATTTGTGATGTGGCGTGCAGAAAATCTTTGGAATTCCAGTGTACTCAAGAGAGTGCACCTTGTCTACCTGACGCTGAAAAAACTGAAACATAGTAACCAAATCTCTTCTAATAGTGGTATTCATTTTTTCCATTAATAATACGAAAGATTAATTCTGAACAAACATAAAATATTTTATATTGTCTCTACTTTACATACGCGAAAACTGATATTAACTCCCCAATAAAATCGCAGTTAGCGGACGAGTTTCAGGGTCGGTTCTCTACCAAACGTAGGTCACGTGATGATTATTCTGTTTCCAACGAGGCTCTGACTCACAGCAGCAATACAAAACATACTCTTTTGGTTACTAAGCAACAGGGTGGAGCCATTACTCCCCTTACCGACGTTTCAGAAGTCCTTGCCACCTCCATCATCAGGGTGATCACCCCGACATGTGGCAGATCAGGGTGATTGCCCCGATGATGGACGGCAATCTTCATCCACAAACATATAACTCCTTTTTCTGATTCTCACACATTTAATTTTTGAGAATCTGACAATACAAGGGTTTCTGTGAACATAAATATGATAATTTATGGCAATGTACTTAATGAAAGTTGAAGTGTATTTGCAACAAATACATATGAATGTGTAAACACTATTATTATTTTAGAACTGTAATGGCTTTGGGCTACTACTTAACGATGGATAAGCCTCCATCTCGCATCAAGTCTGTTCGTCTTCCAAATGAACCATTTCTACAGTCAAATGGCTACAAGCCAGCTCCATTGGATCTTAGTGCTATAGCTCTCACTCCTAAGATGGAGGAATTGGTGGATCAACTGGCAGAAAATACCCGTAATCTGTGGGCAAAGGAACGAATTCTGCAGGGGTGGACGTATGGCTTGAATGAGGTAATTATGCATCTTAACCTTTAAAATACAGCTATTTAAATCCCCCCCCCCCCCCCCCCCCATCAACACGATAAAAAGAAACGCTGGATCACAGAAAAAAATAAATTCGAAGAAGAACACAAAGAAACGAAGCTGTATGACACAAAGGTAGTTCTCTCCTATTTCCTCATTACAGCTGTCGTCAGAATCAGAGTGACAATGCGCTAATTTCCGTACAAAGAGACCCCCTCCCCCCTTCGCTCTGTTGCTAAACGCCTGTAGTCTGATGCTGCACTCTACGCCCACCCTCACAGCTGAATCTGCAGGGTAAAGGTCGTTTTCCTGCACCGACGAGCGAAAGCGTCACGAATCATCCAGAAGCGTAGCGAAATGCATACAGTGAAGGCGTTGAAGACGAAGATTTCCGTCTTCCGAGTTGTTTCGCCGTGTTGTCAGGTAGTACAAGTTTACCGAAGTTTCAAAAGTGCTTGCTGCCTCCATCATCAGGGCGGTCAGTTCAATACGTTCCTTTTTTTAAACTAGTACTAATTCCCCCATAAATTGTAAACTCCCTTAGTCATGATTTGCCATTAACAATTCCAAAACTCTTTAATTTTTAGCAGTGATTTCAAAACTACGTAAAACCAAGTCGTATGAAACGTGTTCTTTTATTTAAGGACTACTACTATATGTATCATAATTTTCTAACGTCAAAGGCGACTAACACTCGCAGACAGATTAGTTATACACCCCTGAAACCGTCATCTTCAATTTCTTTAACGAGGGGGCCAGTAAGCAACTGTTGGACAACGAGGGAGCATGTTTTATCTGTCCCGTGGTGACTGTTATAGCAAGAACTCTCGAAAATTAGAAAGGAGACGGGTTCTCGTGCAACATACAGAAAATGAATGAACTTTCCATACTACACGATGGCCCTTCATTTGCAATGAAAATGTCTTCTGGTGCATTCAGTGTTAAGCAAACTTTTTTTTAACCTGAAAAGGATACATCGCTATATACGAGGGGTTCAAAACCTGTTATACTGCGCAATTATATGGATTACCCCCTTCAGAACTCCAAAGAGAGCAGAGGAGGAGTAACCGAACCACAGATAATCATAGAGTGCCCTCAGGAAAACTTCTGTGCCGTTCGTCTATTCTCGTTGCAATATCCTGCTTTGATTATTAACAATTCAGTATTGGTCCACATACTGATTAGTCTAAAACATTAACAAGACACGTACTCTTTGGAGTACAGTGACATTCAAAATGTGTTTTCACGTCACATCCGTCACTGTTGCACAAATGTCATCCGAAATAATTGTTGCGTAACAAATGTCTTCGAATAATGACCACTGCCGCGCGGAAGAAGTTTCACACTGAAAGGTTGGTATCACGGGAATACGCAACTTCAAACATTCTTTATGGAGTAAGAAGTAATCAGTATCATTAACGTCACGTACTCACCTGCACATCCCTCGTGAACTGATTGTTGCAGAAGATATGTACTGATGTAAACTCTCGAACTTTATCGAACTCGAATTTAATCTCGATAGGTTGGCCATTTCTCGTATCGTTTCTCCAGCCGACCCATCCTTGTCCTAAAACAGAAGAGTGTTACGTCAGAAAAGACGATAAATGGCGTGGCAATGGGGGCAGATGACAAATGTGACTGAGCTAACAGAATTAACAAAAGACGTTTATTAATAGAGTTATAACAAAGGCCAAACCCAGATTAATCTTTACTTTGTTTAACCAGTGCCGCGTAGGGAAGGCGTCCGTTATTATGAATTTAATACATTACGAGGAGGAATTAATAATGTAGGTTAGGTTACATCATGTTTGCAGATTCCGTAAAGTAACCACAGAGTTCTGTCACCGTGTAACCATATTTAATCCTTTGAAACCAAGTTCATCTCACTAAGATCAACATGTTAGTGGGATTAAGGAAATAATCGCTATTTATTCTGAGACTGATATAATAGAGGCTGCAAGGATCTCTGAAACGTCGGTAAACTTCTACCAGACTACACGTCGCAACAACACAGAAGACAGCCATCTTTGTTCTTCGGTGCTTCAAAACTTACGTAATATTTACGCCTAGGAAACTCGGCCAACTCCAACCAGAGAGAAATCGTGCCGAGTGACGTACTGTTCTTATCTCCCAACATTTTTCAATACGACAGGCCTCATTCAATTAGTCATAAATTGGGTAGCCAGAAGCGGAGGGTATATTTCTCTTCAGATAAAGTCTGCATGAATTCAAAACGCAGTTACGATTCTAGTTAAAAAAAACCCTCCCTTCAACAACCCTTACGCTGTACAGGATAGAGGGGGAAAATCATGGCGGAAATAGTCGGTAACAAATGCTGTGGGCATGAAGTTCAATCCAGATCAACTGGTGAAGTTTCTTTAAGAACGCATTTCAATGTTGAAGTGGCATTCTCAAAGCAATGTACAAATTTTTATGGGCTGATCTAAAATTTCAGGTTCCCACGGCTGGTTAAGCTATCGATTATTATCGATATTAGTAAATTTAGGCGCACAACCGAAGCACAAAACGCTGATCGCAGTACGCACCCCGCTCATAGTCGTAGTAGCCCATCTTGAAGTTGTCGGGGCCGATCTTGCCGTCGGTCAGCTGCCCCAATCCTCGTCGTAGTTCTCCGTCCCAGTGGCCGTCGTACGTGGAGTCAAAGAACTCCCATCCCGAACCCCTGACGTCCCCCTGCGGCATCGAGTAGCTCACAATCCCATCTGCAAAGCAGGAACATACTCTCTCAAGTTGGTCTGCAGGCACTAAACTGCAGATATTACGTAAATAGGAGGGCGATTATTTACGATTAACTGGGCGGGAAGCCATCCTCAGCGCTTGCATTCATCTGCAATGACTTAAGAAAACATAAAAACTCTTAATCAGGTCAGTAAATTCGAATTTCATGCCTTCCACAAAGGTATTACCACCCGTGTTAACCTGTCAGTATGATTTATATTTATTTGTGTACGACCTGAACCTTTCACGGCGATCAGAATTTGATACTGGTGATGGTAACGGAGAGGGTCCCTGAAACGTCATTTTTTAACCAACTAACACCGCTGATAGCCCGAGAACATTTCATTAATGTTGCTTGCTGTTAATTTAACGACGTTGTCAGTAGTTCAACTATGTAGCATCGAATGATGGGTCGACTTGATGAACAATAACTTGGAAGGAATATCAAAGAATCTGTCTGATCCGAGTATTTGCCTGGAATAACTGGGTAAAACCACAAAAAACAACAGTCAGAATAACCTTAGTACGAATCTGGAGTGCTAACCACTCGGCTGGGACATAGGACAGTATACATTTCAAGGTAAATATTAATCAGCACACTTGATGTTGATGACCGCTTATCAGGCAACATACGTTCAGATGATATTGCTGCAATGTTAAATTCCAACATGTGCGCCCTCTCTCCTGTAATCTACACTCACAGTCATGAATCATCATTAACATAATACCACTGATCACTGTTCTTTTTTTTAAGTCTACAATTTCTGTTCTATTAGGTGCGTCAAGGTTGAAATACTTTTGAACAGTTTTACAGATGAAATAAACGTCGTACCATTTGAGGGTCCCCGTATCAATGCCATTTTCCTCTACCGGGAACTGACATTAATACGGAAGCCGGAAAAGATTGTACCACACGCGTAACACAGTCCATATTTAATAGACCTGTAGGGACTTAAGGTCTTTGAAATATTTGTCAAACCATATGAGTCTTTGATTATCTCTGTCCCATTCATTAAATTCTTTCGACTTCCTTGCTACCTTTCATGTTTAATTATACTCTTTTTTCCTTATTTTCTAGTTCCGTCCTTTATAATTTGTTTTTTGTATTTCTTCCAATCCTTACTTCGGTGTCTTTCCTTTTACAGTGAAGTATAAACGAACCATAACGCCTGCAACTTTTATAGAATTATCTATTGTTCTGAGCACTAGGTAAAGTTCTCTGCGAGAATACTGAATTGCAGATCATAAATCTACCTGGTGCTTTAATGTGTGTGCCGAACACTTCTGATTTATTATACTGTTATTAAAGATACCTTTCAACAGCCTCTTTCTGAAAGCTTGTGAAGGAAAGTTGGTCTACTTGAGGACCTCAAGCTCTGAGCGCTGAAAGTCCAGTTTTCAGGTGCACCATCAAACTGTCAGCTCCTTGACAGGTTTAAAAGTTATTTTCCTTTGAACCTTTCTCATGTTGCAGAATATGTTAGTTTCAAACGCCTGCAGAGTTTATAAATTAAGCTTACACTTTCGTAAGACCCACATTCCATCTCACTGCAGATTGTTAAGAGTGAGATTTAATGAAGTTATTAGTGACACAGTATTTTGAAGCGCGCTAACATTTTGAGTTGCCAGTTTTTAAACGCACAGCAGAGTCCTTTTTGATATGCTAATAGTCGCTTGGCAAGTCAACAATCTCGCCGATTTTTATGGAATTCGAAAGTTCGGAAGGACCACCCACTGGAACCCCATCTTGAGCTACACGAATCCAGTTCTCATCCTCATACCACGTCTCCGTAAGATTTGTTTTAACAGCATCTGCTCATTCACGCTTAGGCGTGTCCACGTGGGAGTTATGAAGCACGAATTAGCACGGCGTCAGGTTTTTCCTGTCAGTATCATTGAACTGCTGCTCCATACTCACTCATTTACCATCTGTGGGACGGAAAATGGGTCAATCATCCATTGGCTGCATTTCCCATCCCATCACAACAACAATAAAAGCAACGCTTAGGTGTTCGGAATGGTCTCTAGACAGAGAAAATTAATAATAAATAACAATCATCTTATAGATTTTAGGGGTCGACTTTATGTGATTTTCCAGTTCATAATTAACTTCTGAAATTATAAATCCTTTTAGACGTTTGGCGGGACTCTGTAGAGGGACACTCAAATCGCGAAGCTTTTACCTACATGGGGGAATAAAACACAGAAAGTTTTGGGAATATATCCATGCCTCCTGTGGGGTTCGAACACAAGACTCCAGATTTAGATCGGTCAAGGTCCACGCCTAAGATGCGAGATGGCGAACCTGAAGGCTCTGACGGCTGTTTATTGACATTTTTTTTACAGAACTAGCTGAGGAAACGATAAAAAAAAACACGGCCAAGACTGTCAGTATCTGAATCGGCAGAGATTCAAATCGGGCAAATCCCAAATATAAGTCAGACGTTTTACCGATTGAGCCAACTCGCTCGGTGGCCCTCTTAAATGGTAATTGGGCCGAAATGTTTCAACGCAGTGTTCAGTGGCAGGCCTCTCTCGTTATGATGATGGATGTTTGGATTTTATCGAGCTAGACACGTAGACTACGACGTACCATTCCAGTAGCAGCCGTACATTTCCACCCTCATGCAGACTGTGCGCCGGTGGTAGCTGTACGGAAGAAAGCGGATTCTGCTGGCCCACACGGGCGGGTCCAGTTCCCGCTTCGATCCCAGGTACGTGTTCGAGTTGCCTTCAATCACCTGAAACAATACAAGAACGCGGCCGATATCAGAAGAATGCAGAGACGTGAAATCATGAACTTCTGGGTTCCGGCGCCTTGTAGACTAGTAAGTAGATGCTGGGAAACGTCGTCACTTCAGACCTGAAGATGGAGACAGTATATTTCTACGAAACGTTGACGACTACCGACGAGACAACACGGCGCCAAAACCCAGAAGAAGAAAATAATAATCCTCATCGCCATGAAGCCCTCGAATCTCACAAAATTTTTATTAAGGATATTTTGGAAAAGCAACTTTGACTTCATCCGTTGGGGCAGCAGAAAAGGAACAAATAAAAACCGAGGCCTCGTTCTTGGTACACAGAAGCTGTAATGAGAGAGATGATACATCTTCACTTACAGGCTTGCCTGAAGTAGCTAAACGGGAAGCTCCATGAAGTCACGTGCATGTCACTGATAATGATCCTGTCTTGGAGAGTACAGTGATCTCAAGCCTCGGAAATTTCGGTCCTACAACGCCACGGGCGACGTACTGTCAAAATGCCACACCGTGTATAATTTACCTTCCCCCTGTTTATATTTGAACATTGTTCTGTGATATCACTTGACAGATGACGGCATTATTTTTAAGATTCAATTAACAACACACTGTTAAAAAGGATGAATAAATGTATTTTTTGATCTGAACCCGTAGCTCGTCTAAATAAGAATTCAGTCCGTACCGCATAGAAAATACTACAGCAGGGGTGGCCAACCCAAATGATCTTTCGGGCCACTTTGGAAATGCATCATAACTCCGCGGGCCACATATAAAATTATATATCCCCATATTAGATTTAGATACACTATAGACATTTTTTTGGAGTGAAAAACGCGGGCCGGAAAAATGTTCAAGGCGGGCCGCGGGTTGGCCACCCCTGTACTACAGCATCTGCCTCGGATATTGAATCCCGAAAGTAGCAATAGTAGTAATAACAGTAGGCATCTGTGGCGTTAGTGGTAAGTATTGCATCACATTAGGTAACAAACAGCTCCTATAGAAACTATCACTAGATTAGATCGGAAAACGTTCACTACACGAGTTCCATTTGGTGTCGTTCAAATTTCCGAATTTAATATTCTTTTTGAATAAGTATATTCGTAGATTCTATCCAACACATCAATAAACCAAATACACCAAGGAATTTCCTTTCGTAACATTACCTACGTAAATGTACAGGTATACTTAATGCTATTTCTTTCAGTATCACAATTTTACTACGTATAAACACGTAAACATACAAAATAATGCCATTAAAGTTATTTGAACCTTTCCGCGTATCTACGGCATATGTTTCAACAAACAATTCAGTTTGTTTCAAATATAATTTTTCAAAATATCATAGATAAAAACGTTACGTTTTGCTGAATATAACAGCATAGATATATATAAAAGTTCACACAAATGAAATTACGTAATTGTGCAATCGAGTATCAGACCCCGCCATGTAATGAACGTAAATACGAACCTCACGATACTATATCCGTTAACCCAATCACAGATACCTAACCGAACATCAACATTATAGGATTCAATTATGATAAATGGTACGCTGAAAAACGAAACAAGTGTCAAGGATAAGAAGCCATGTTGGTTTCTAGTCTCATACAAGACACGGGCCAAGATTCGCGGGTTACAGAACAGGAAGCGGTGGGAATATTTCATGGAGCGTAGTCGCGGCTTGTACCCGTTCCCAGCCCTTCCATTTTCAAATCTGCCCCTTCGTGAAAACCGTTTTAATCCGCTACTACTGCTACTATTCACTCCCTCCCATTATCCTCCATTTATCGCTGTTTGATGCTCTTCTGTTCTCACTCCCTGAGATTTCTCTTCCCCACGTGTTCATCTCATTTCCTTGAGTCACGCGACCAAAACTTTTCCTTATATTTCCTCTTTCCGTTTCAAGTTTTCCTTTCCTTCTCCTCGTTACATGCTGTGGCCGAGCTTGAAAAAGTACTGGAATGGCATCGAACACATTACCTTCTTCTAAGACTCAGTTCATTACTTGCATTTGTGTAATTCGGTATTAAATGTGTCTAAAGGGGTCATATGAGGCCCTAGTAGATCGAGATGAGTAAATATGGCGATACTGAATAAGAAATCAGCTTGGAACAGCGTCTATTTATGAGAAAAGCACATGGAAAATTTTACTAAATTTTAAAAATACTCTTATCTTATAAAACGTAAATCTTTTATCCGATACTTTCATATTTACAAACACGTACACATGGATTATATGATTGTTCTCATATTTTATTTATAAACCGCGTCTCTGTTACTAGTATAGTGCGTAAAACTTGAGGCAAAGCCAGATATTCCAGACGCGTTCTCACCAGATACACATTTATTCTCCTTCGGCCATGTCATCACACACGCACAGAACCTCCCACTGCATACCAAAAAAAAAATCACACACACATACAAATACTTTCTTTTTCGTTTCCTGTCCACGATTCTATAAAGCACGGACAATACTGTGCAACAAAGAAAATATTTCTGCAAAAACATTCCAGTCGTGGATCTGCAAGACGTGAGTCATGAGATGAATACCACTGATGGTATGGAAATTCGTGTTGTGAGTAGATTAAAAAAATCTATCAGACAAAAATTGAACTGTTAGCATAGGCCTATTATTATTTAGTGTTCTGTCTGAGGACAGGTCCATATGAACAGGATCCTTCCATCCTTTTCTCGGACTGGGACCTGTTCATATACGTTCTTGGCAGATGATCCAGAAGTGGTTGGCCATTGCCTTCTTCTGTGTGTGAATGGAGTAATTGTTGGGATGCCTCGGAGAAACCGGGGAAGCCCCCGGAGGAAACCTCCGTGCTGCCTAGACCACGGCCTTGCCCAACACAAGTTTTAAATTCGGGCACCGCCGGGAATCGAACCCGGGACCCCAGGATTACAAGGCCAGCGTTCTAACCGCTAGACCACCGTGGCGGTTAGCATAGGCCTATATGACATAAATATACCGAGAAAAAACGCGTCATGCGAGACAAATACACGATACCGAGAACAATAAACAGCCTCGCCTTTAACAAATTCTGCGTAAAAATTAAGAACGATATCCACTACACAGGTAACATT